ATTTGTTCGGTTTTCTCTCTAGTGTAGTTTCACAGAACTAGAATTCTGTGATAGATTGATGGCTTAAAATGTTGGAATAAAGCCTTCGCAAAATGTAATAAATCGCTCGTTTTTCTTCTGTTTCGTTTCGTGTTTGTGCTGTGTTTGTAATCATTCGAATGAAATCGCGTGACAAAGCCTATCGTAACTGTTGGTCGCCAAGGAAAGCCTGAATTATCCAGACACTGCACATTCCGTCAAAGTTTTCTACCAGCTAAACCCAGTTATATATCACTAACAGTAAACATTTAGTTAGCATGATATCAAAGATGGTGTAAGTAAAATAATTTTATTTTGTGAATTCAGGACCATCCTGTTGTGATGACAAAGTTCATTGAAGGTGCGCGTGAAATCGAAATGGATGCAGTGGCTAAGAACGGAAAGGTGACTGATCGTACTTTCATTTAAGCTAACGTTAATGAGACGAAGAAAATGTTAGAGCGACATACCTGATAAAAAATATTACTTGACTGAAGTGTCCTGTCTAGCCAGCAGCTGATGCTGTTGTTTGTTTATCTACAGGTTGTCGCTCATGCTATTTCTGAGCACGTAGAGAATGCTGGTGTTCATTCAGGAGATGCTACCTTGATCTTACCTCCACAGACCATCAGTGAAGAAGACATTGCACAGGTTGGTCGAATTAATTGGGCGTTGGCTGACCACGTGCGGCCACGTGCTTACGTTTAAAGGCAGCGACAGATTGCAGATTACAGTATTTATATAGGCGGGGCTGAGCACTTGCTAGCAGCGAGGATTGTATCACTTGAAATAAAGGGGCGGTGGTTACTGTGCAGTTTGTGAATCGGAGGATTTAGCGAACCGTGCTTTGTTTTAAGCACAATTTCTACCTGTTTAACTTTTAGGTCAAAGAGGCCACCAGGAAGATAGCTGAGAAGTTTAACATTTCTGGTCCGTTCAACACGCAGTTTTTGGCCAAAAATAACGAGATTATGGTAAGCATCAGTTTCATCTGTACTTACTACACTGAATTCGTGACAAGCAAATTGAAAATGGCTTATGTTGTAGAGAATGAGAGCCCGCCAAAGAGCGTTAACCCAGAAAATGGCAATCGTTTGCGATTTGTGGCTGTAAGCTGTCTGAGCGTCATACGTGGGATGAGAAGAGCATGGATGTCCCCGTGGTGAGAACGCTCACCTAACCACCGGGTTCGATTCCGGCCCGGTGCCATAAGTGGGTTAAGTTTGTAATTGGTTCTCGCCTTGCTCCGAGGGTTTTTCTCCGGGTTCTCCGGTTTGCCTCCCTCCACAAAAACCAACATCTCCAAATTCTAATTCGACCAGGATAGAGGACCTGCATGAAAACCAGATAAGGTTGATGTGGCTTCCTCTCTAAATATTTTAATGAGTTAGTTGCCAATTTCTCCTTGACCTGGTGATGTTTCTCCAGGTCCTTTGGGATACGGTTCTCCCAGAGAGGTCTGGGATATCGGGCTTCTGGGACAGTCTCCAAAAATACCCGGAACCGGGACGGGGAAAGGGGAGGAGCAGAGATACGAGATTTCCAGGTATACCTAACTTAGCTCCACCTTCCTGGACTAATGCTGTCTTTTCATATTCCTCTTTCACAGGTGATTGAATGCAATCTGCGCGCGTCTCGCTCGTTCCCATTTATCTCCAAAACAGTTGGCACAGACTTCATCGGTGTGGCTACCAAAGTGATGGTGAACCATCCTCTTGACGAACATGCGCTTCCAAACCTGGACACGCCCCTACAGCCGGTTGGATATGTCGGCATCAAGGTTTAACCTCAGTTCACTTGTTACTGGTACAAGGCCAGGGCTCCGGCTGATCAACTATCGCAGTTTCCACAGACCAGGAAAAAATTAGAGTTTTTTTTTGTATGAATGAGGCTAACATCTAAATTATATTTTAAGATTGCTTGTTGCGTTCGTGTTATTGCGATCTTAATTCTCGTTGTCAACGAAAAAGAAATGTAAATTGCGACTCTCCACTTTATCAGACTTGTTATGGTTAGCCTGTTTTAGGCGTTGTGTTGGTTGGGGGCGACAAAAAAATTGGCAAGATAAAAAGTGGGATGGGTTCAGTGCGCTCTACTCTTTTATATATTTTTTTTCCTCGCCGTTTTTTTTTTTTTTTTTTTTTTTTTTTTNATTGAATTTCGCGTCATCAACTTTACTACGTTATTTCTGCATGGTCAGTTTCCGTCTTAAAACGAGCATGTTTGCTCCTAATAGTGGTAACTAACTCGGGTTGCTAGCATGATCGTTAAGAGCATGCGTGCATCTTTTTCTTCAGGCGCCCATGTTTTCTTGGCCAAGACTGCGTGACGCCGATCCGCTGTTGAGATGTGAAATGGCTTCCACTGGAGAGGTGAGGTGACAGCTAAATGGAAAAACACTACGATAAATTGAAACCATGGTTTCAAATCCCTCGTAGTCTAAAAGAATATACTGTTGTTTTATAACCGTTTCATTTCAAATTCTAAAATACAGCTTGTCTATTTTTGTGTAGGTTGCTTGTTTCGGAGCCAATGCCAAAACCGCTTTTCTCAAGGCTTTGATGTCAACTGGCTTTCGTCTGCCTAAAAAAGGCATTTTGATTGGTATTCAGGTAAGATGATTGACAGAGTATCTACGATTAACCATATTTTATTTCGTAAGTTGTGTTATAAATTTTATACGTTTAGTCACACTGACATTCATGATAAGTGCTTCTAATTTCTTAATATTCAATCCAGCGCTCAAACTTTACCGTTGTTGTAACGATTAAAATCTGATTTTCTCGTTTCTGGAAGTAGTTTTCAAGTTGCTCCTCGATTTGGTGGTTACACTTGACTCGTCACCAGTCTTCTGTTGTGAGGAAAATTAGTCACGCGCGGGGGATGATGGGAAGGACGGATCAACCAGCCTCGTTCCCAGGGCTTTTTCCATGAATGAGGTTGACAAAAGACCACTTGGAACGAGTCAGGAGTGACCATTTTGAATTAACTACGTGGTGTAACCCAATTTATATTCACTTTGCTTTTCTCTTGGTATTTTTAACAGCAATCCTTGCAGCCAAAGTTCCTACCAACGGCCAACAAGCTGCACCAACTAGGATTCACTCTGTACGCTACAGAGGCCACAGCACAGTATCTGAATGAGCACAATATCCCAGCGGAGCCTGTAGAATGGCCGCTACACAGCGTCGGTGTCAATCCAACAGCTACCAGGTAAGAAACGCGCTTGGCGGGTCATTAAAATTAACAAATCTCGGCAAATCAAGTTACCTGTCTAAAAGCTGGACATCCACACAACTTAACGTTCACAAAGGCTGACTCCAGCATAAAATATGGCGTCCAGACAAGACTTGTCTTTTACAGAAAACTTGACGTGCACACACTCGATATCCTGACAAATGTTCTAGAACGACTTTCAGATGCCTTTAATGAAATCAGAGAATAGAGAGCTTAGCTAGCGGCAAGAACACGTGATCAAAGGGTTAGCGCAGTGGGGAGTGCGCTTGCCTCCAACCGGTGTGGCCCTGGTTCGATTCCTGCCCAGTGTGGGTTCCGTTTGTTAATGGTTCTCGCCTTGCTCCGAGGGTTTTTCTCAGGGTTCTCCGGTTTTCCTCCCTCCTAATAAACCAACATCTCCAAATTTCAATTCCACCTTGATAGAGGACCTACATGAAAACCAGGTAAGGCTGATGTGGCTTCCTCTCTAAATATTATAATTCATTTTATTTTTTTAAAGACTGCCCCGTTTCTAATTTTTGCCGTTTTGTTGCAGACTGATCCAAGACAAAGAAGTCGACCTCGTGATCAACTTGCCCAATCAGAACACCAAATACATCAAAGATAACTACCTTATAAGGAGATCGTCCATCGACACTGGGGTTCCACTCATTACCAATTTAGAGGTAAAGCGTCACGTGTTTATTTAGCCTTCACTGATAAGTTCCTCGTCCGTTTAGTAACCCTATAAGACTCACGAGGACCATGTAGACTTCTGAAAACACTAATGGCGTTGATTTTCCATGGTACGATGCGCGAACCAACTTGTAAGAGATTTTTAAGACTGGTTCGGTCCTGCAGGCTTGTTCCAAGGCCCCATCCACACTACCCCGGAGAAATTTAAAATCGGAGTTTTCGCTCTGAAAACTCATCAAATGTTTTCCGTCCACACTACGCCGGAGCAATTTAAAAACGTAACAATCACCGGTCATTTTGGATTTGTGTTTGAGGAAAACTCGATCAGGAAATCACTTGATTATTGTAATCTCATCGTTTTCGAAAAGCTTGGTTTTCAAAAAGTTTTCCGTCCCGCACTAAAACGCAAAGCCGGCGTTCTCAAATTCCTCCGGTTTCAAAAGCGTTTTCGAAAAGCTCCGTATTCGTGACGTATTAGTGTGGACGGTAAGCCTAACCGGAAAAATAAAACTGCGTTTTCAAATTTCTCCAGGGTAGTGTGGACGGGTCCAAAGTTGCCTACAACTTTTTTTCAAGAAGCATAACAGCTTTTTACTTGACTTAACTCACGCACTTCTCGTGAACTCCCTCACGTAATTTAATCAAAGCCCTTTCATTAAATGTGTCGTTTTTATTTGTTTGTTTCCTTTCTTCTCTTAAGGTTGTGAAGATGTTTGCCGAAGCTCTCTCGGAGACTGGCAAAATCGATGCCACTTCTCTCTTCCACTACCAGAAGTCGTCAAACAGAAAAGCAGTGTCCTGAAAAAAAAAAAAAAAAAAAAAAAAGACGCGATAATCTCCCGAAAAAGTTCATTAACTTCTGAAAACTTCCTGTATTTAAGTAGCGACGTTTCGCCCCGAAAAGTTAAGCTTCATCTGAAAGTAATATTTTAGCCGTCAAACGGTGTAATTCCTAAGAAAAAAAAATTGTCGGGTAAATATTTTTGTAGTAGTGTTATAAACTATAAATAGCAAGGGCGGAAGAAAATAAACAAGACGCATTAAATGCCGCTTTGTGTGGTGGTTTCTCTTGGGTTAATTAACCATAAACCGTAACTGTCGTAACTTGCCGAGACTTACGTTTTGAAAAAAAGTGTATTCGTTGCGTTGTTCTGTGAGAGGAGCTAATTTTCCCGCCAAAACACTTACCACGCGCGTCACGGATACTGAGCAATAAGGTCTAGAGCTGCTGCAACCTCGATCCCAGGCTCCATCTCCTTTGCCTACCCTGTCGTTGGAAGGCCCAGTATTGGCCATTATGCTTTGCGCGCCTTTGTTGTTGTTTTGGTTTTCAAGGGAGCGAGGCGTCTATTGTTTTCGAGTTCTATTCTGGCGACAAACGGAAGAATCCCCAGAATTTTCAACATCACAAAAATGGTCGCCAAGAGATCGCAGCGTGCAGTGCTTAATGGGCAATACCGAGTCTTTGAAGAGAGAGATTCGGAGAGAGGTGGGTCTTTCCTTAACGACAGAGGTGAGAGACCATGGGATCGAGTTTGGATCTGCTGATTTTTCTTTAATTTTTTTAATGATTCTTGCTGGTTTAGCTCGTAAAATTGGCCACTTGCACTGTGCCTGGTGAAATTTTAACTTGTTACTGCAGAGAAACAGTTAATGTTCAAGTATCATTTTCCTGTTTGTAAATTAAGCTTAAAGGAGCTCAGTCAAAGTATTTTGGCCACGTACAAAATTACCTTTAAATTGAAGGAAAGCTGAATATTGTAAATTACTAAGAAAGAAAAACACCAAAGAGATAATAATAAACCATAACGGAACAAGGATGCAAAAGGTTAACACGGACAACAAAGGCCTGATTATGTGAATCTTGTAATTAATCTCATATTGCTTTAATACATAATCAGTTATAAGCTTCTTGGTTCGTACTGCAAGCCGGAAGGCTTTTTGATAACCTCTGTTTTAGTACGTGCAGTCCGTTATGCAGGTAACTAAGGGATGGACCATCTGACTTTTGAGGGAGGGGTGAGTGATATTGAAAAAATATCCCGCAAGCATACTTGTACCAAGAAAAATTCATGCACACCACCAGTGCCGGAAAAAAATTCACGCACGTTCAGTGATTGAGACAAAAAAAGTATGTTACACGAAGAAAAAAATACCATGCATTCGAATGCATACGCGCGTCCCTAGAAAAAATTTCCTAGTGCATGTAAGAGTTAGAATAAAAATTTGTGCCTGTACCATTTCACCCACACATCCCCTTAAAAGTCAAAATGGTCCACCCGTAAGGGTTGATGATTAAATCTAGTTTCCATGGTACCCCAAATGAATCTCTTTCTAATCCTTAAATTAGTTTCTATAAAATGCAATAAGCAGATTCCTTAAAACATGACATTTTAAGCCACTTAGAGTAGCAGCACCTTATGAATGGGATTTTGTGCCTTTGCAGGTCACCCCAAGCATTTTGCAATGCAATTTGGTCAAGAATTTTCCAGTACCTATTACGATCTTAGGTGGAGGAAGGCACTGTGAGAGTTAAGTGTCTTGGCCAAAAACACGACATAATGAGCCTGGCAAGGCTCAAACTCAGACCTTTTATTCACAACGCAAGTTTACGAACTAACTTATACAACGTTAACTAGGCCCTTCATTTTCTCTACATCGACTAAGAGTATTTGTGTTCCGCCTTACTAGGACACTAGCTGACCCCGGGTCTCTTCCTCACCCCACCCCCCTCAGCTATTTGCCCGGTAGTCCTCGGGTATAGAGCAGGCTGGTACCATGAAAATAAATAAGCTTATTACCGAAAGCGCAAAATGAGGGTAATGGATAATTGGGTCGTTCTTTACCCTGAACATCTCGCCAGTTTAAGATATCGTTCCCAATTGCACGTACTGTGATCGACTCTAAAATGACAGAAATTAGGAACTGTGGTAACTAGCCGACTACGTAGGAAATGCTCAAGGTTCTTGGGATTTTGCTTTCATCACTAGCGAGAGAGTAATAGCTCTAAGAACTATAAAAGAACTATAAAAGCTTAGAAATAAATCGGCTTCCTCGGAAACAATGGATTTTTCATGCGTTTGTGTAAGCGTTCTTCTAACAAGAATCCAATATCGTGCAAGTTTTATTTATCTTACTTCGGAGGGGGTTACTTTTTTCCAAGGGAGGGTTGAAGGGAGGTGCGCATCAAACTACAGACGTGTAACAAGCGCGGTGTAATATTTTGCGTTTTGTAATAGAAATTTCGTGTTAGATGTATTTGTTAGAATGGCGCAAACTTTTGATGTTTTTAAAAATCACTTGCAACAGGTAGCACAACTAAAATGATCTTGTTTGCCGAGAACACCTGGCTAGCTATGGGACGGTCCCAATTTAAGACAAAGGCCCATGGTCTTCAAGTACGATCCAAGTTAAACTTGATTGAGAATCAACTGGTAAATTCTCCTTACAGTGTCAATACGTTATCAGGTAGACGAGTGATAAAAGTAAAGGAAATCATCAACGAGCTTGATGAAAATCCTGGGAGATTGTTCGAGTTTGGTCTAAAAACTATGAACAATTATAGATTTAAATCAACATGTGACAAAGGGTGCAGTTAATTATTTCCGCCGCAGATCTACATTTTAAAGAGGACATCTTTTATGTGTGCGAGGGAATTAGCATAGAGCCAAACCCGAAGGCTCACATCCGCTCTAAACAATGGCCAAGTCCCTCACGGTCTACTGTGACGTCAGACAGTTTCCTGAATCGGCTCCGGTTTTGTAAGGATGCTTTCGATACTTGAAATAACTTATTTGATTTTGACTAATAATAATTAAATTTCTGTCTGTAAATCTAATATTTCATTTAAACAAGTAGTCGCTTTTTAGCTTTAAATATAAAATCCCGAGTCGGTCGATAATCATAGAATTGTGTTTTTCCACAAATAAAAACCATTTTGTTCCCTAATTGCCGGACGTCACATAACATTGACAACTTGGCCCTATTAAACTTTAAAACCCTTTGCAAATTTTGCATATTTATCTAGTAAATCCCTTCTAAAGTTTCTCACTGCGTAATAATGCAGCCATGTTTTTAATCAAATAAATGACAGGCGAAAGATTTATGAAAAAACAGACGAGCGCGGCTTGGCTAAGTCTATTTTGGTCGCATCAATGCATACAAACAATAACTAAAGTTTTGAACTGCAATAGGAAAGCGAGATGTCAGGGCAAACAAAGGCGCCCTAAGTGGACTGTGCTTTTGTTTGAATTTAGTTTCCTGTACCGAGAGAATATTCGTCTAGTTGTGAAACCAAAATCACCGACGTTTTTTTAAAGGAGTCTTCCCGATTTAAACCGCGAAGTGAAGGCATTGGATAACAAGAAAACTGCTTACTTCGAGTACTGAAGCGGTAAGCCATTGCAAATTTATTCATTAAGTTAACAGGTTAAAAACAATGTAGATTTTAGCATTCATATGAAATCTGTGAATGTATCTTTGACAACTGTGAACATTTTAAGACTGCTCAATAGACGTCTTTCACTTACGAGGACACTGTTTAGAAAATACAACAGTGAAGTAACGGGTTTGCATCCGTACGAAAGAAAGGTTACGGGTGAATGGTAGAGACATGTGTTTAAATAATCGTGTTTAGCCGCACAATCTCTCCGCCTCACTCAAAAACGTGGTGTTTTCATGTCACCGGCGCCTTTCGTACCGGATACGACCAATCTATTCAAACTTTCGCCACCGAAGTTATATTTCACTGATTTCAGACGAACAAGAAATGAGGCTATGATAAGCATTTAAAGGGAACACATCTGCATCGAACGAGAAAATTCCGTCCGACCTTATATGCGTGACTTTGTTAAGTAATATATTCGAAACGTGCAACTTTTCTATACAAAGCTTATAATTTAGGTCAAAGATGACTTAAGGCAAAATCGGATGAAGCGTTTAGCCTTTATGTTCTCTTATCCTTACAAAGTACTTAAGCGTTTTAAGAAATGTCGACTTTAACTCAAGGATTTCAGATTAAAGCGATAGTAAAATTATGGAGATAGAAATTCAGTTTTCTCTAGAGATGGCGGTTATGAAGTTTCTAAAGACAAACCGTAGAGTTAATAAAACATTACAATGGAAACAGGTGCAAGCCAAGACATGATATTTACGTTGCTTTTCCTATGTTTTAGCTGCTTTAAATAGAAAATGCGAATACACGTATAATTCATGATTAACCTCTATTAAGATTTCAATCAATCTTCCTGTCTTCGCGCTTTTATCTCGACTCTATAAATAAGAACGATGTATTGTTCGCGGACCCTTCGCGGCTGCTAATTAAAAACTACAACCCTAAGTTATTGCTAAACGGAAAAGGTTTGCAACAAAAGTTACAAAACATCGATCTCCAAAAACACTTTCTAAATAAGTTGCTGTTATTGTGCACAGACGCAATTTGCAAGTCGTTAAATTTCGCGCCAGGCTAGTTTGCTGGGAAAACAACCAAATTTGATTAAGCGTTCTTTTTGCCTTATAAGTACCCCACAGGTACCTCTGACGGAGCCTTAGATAAGAAACAAGAGCATGTAAATAAGACATGTATTTTATGGTGTTATTTTACTCGTAGAAACAAAAGATGTCTGATAAATCTTTCCGGGAGTTTCTAAAGTAATTTGATTAGTAAAATGTAGTCTAGTCCCGGAGCGCGTTCTAGGTAAATTTTTGCGGTTACAAATTGGTGGACTCCCTGACTAGGAAATTAAAAAGCGTGTTTCATTTATCCGGATTAACGAAGAATCTATTCAATCCGATCAAATCCAGGCGCTCGTATAATCACAAATTAAATGGAAAAGCGTTCTGCGATTGGCCATTACAAACTTATAGCCGTCAAATGAATTAAGAGGCAATTATCAAAATAAGGGCACAAGTTTAAACAGAGATCACCCAAAATATACGAAAATGGTCAACAAAAAGCTACTGGAAGTTTCTTTTTGACTGCGCCAGCAAAAATGATTTGATAATCCATGAAAATATAAGGTGATATAGTTCTCCCCTGATTATTGCCCTC